GGGGGGGGGGGGAGGGGGCATGTACTCATGCTCACAGCCTACAGAAAGCCAGCAAAAGCTACAAGCCCCCCGAGCCGCATCTAAACATTGCACAGCAACAATTACTCGACGCGCTTCCCAACTTATTAGCGTACATTGCCGACTTGACCTTGTTGCCCCCCTCCTCCCCGCTCTCCGCGTCCGCATCACCGCCTCCTTTCCGCGGAGTAGACTTGAAGGCTTCATTCTCAGCCTGCGCGCGCAGCCAGACACACAATGCCATGTGTTTCTTCTGTGTTTAGCGGCCGTGCAAGGAACGTCTCGGGAAAAACAGCGGCGCTACACACTGGCGTCGTCACGGCTCTCCGCCGGCTCGGCAGGCTACCTACCTAGCGAGGACTAGCAGCGGCTAACCACGCCAATCCTGTTGGTTTTCTTCCTACGATATCAAGCCAGTCATTTCGCTGCCGTTCAACTCCTCCTGCGCTAAAAAGAAAGACCCCTTTTTACGACCCAGCAGCTGGATGCCACCTACTGTCGCTTTTCCTTGCGCGAGTCCCCTGCCCGCTCACAAACACCACAAATAGCCCGGCATCTGCACCGCATCATAACAGGCCCCGTGGCTATTGGTATTGAAATGGCTCACCTCTTCGTCCTCGCTGTCTGACGACAGCCCGGTCCCACCCAGCGCACCGCCCCCGCCCGTCGCGGAAGACGCCGCCGCTGCTGCTGGAACTCCTTTCTCGCTTGACGCGCTGTCGTCGTCCTGCCGACGGAGTTTCGGGACAAAGAGAGTGTGTTGACGGAGTGTTCAGGACAAGAAAGAGTACGATGAAGTGTTCAAGACATGATCGGATATGACGGAGTGTTCAGGATAGGAGAGGGTACGACGAAAGTGTCGAGGACAAGAGAGGGTATGGCGGAGTGTTCGAGACAGTGAAGGGTATGACGAGAGTATTAAGGATAAGAGAGGGCGTGACAAAGTGTTGAGGACAAGAAAGGGTATGGCGGAGTGTTCGAGACAAGAAAGGGTATGACGGAGTTTCAGGATAAGAGAGGGTATGACGGAGTCTTGAGGACAAGAGAGGGTACGATGGAGTGTTCGAGACAAGAAAGGGTATGATGAGAGTATAAAGGACAAGAGAGGGCATGATGTGGAGACAGGAGGGCACAGGAGTGATAACCACTGCCAAGGTCTCAGTGGCAACATAGCAATCAGTCAGACCCTGCATGTCTGCTGCCTGGTGCCACCAAGCCTGCGTCTTGCAGCGGAAGGCTGCTGCTGTTGCTGCTGCTAAACAGCTGCTATGTGCTGGTAGCTGCCGAGCGACTGCCGGCATGCAAGGAATACTGCTATAGGACAGAGGTAGAGGTCGCTTGAGATACCAAACACATTCCCGTGAGCACCTTTGCTAGGCCCAGTATGTAGCTCCACGAAACGAGGGTACTGTGGAAACTCTCGCAGAGACCCTTCCCCTCTCCTTCCAACTTCCACGCCCCCAACTGTGACTTGTTCTCGGTGGTTACGCCGCTCCTACTTTTGGGTGGCGGGGGGGATGGTATCTTACGTACCCGAGTGGAAGCGCCAAGAGCAGCGTTTTCTTCGCGTCAGCTATAAGAATAAAACATGAACGCTGTTGCCTGGTCGTTCACACTCCTAAACTCGAGCACCTGTTGGGCAACTACGAGTCGCCGTCGAGTGGCGCCACAGATTCTACGCGTAGCGCAGCGCTCCCAGTTTAGGTCCAAAAACTAGCTGTACATCTGGGATCGCTGCCAAGATCGACGAGCTCGAAGAACACCAAGACAAGCGGGTGCTCTGAAGTCGTCGCACATTAACCATACCGCGGGCCGACACAAGCCACAAACCCCATCTAACCCCCCCCATGCTGGCTGTCCTACTGCTGTCCTACTATCTGTTGACCTGTGGCCGCAACGTGGAGTTTCGCCCCTGCCTCCTGGTCGAGCTCTCTGACAAGCACGCCAGCATCGCAATCACTCCCATCTAGTAAGACCGCACGTACCTCTTCCATGATCTTCCTCCTCCCCCGCGACTCCGACGTCGGCGAGTCCTCCATATTGTTGAGCACAGGAGGCACAGCACCTGTGCAGTTGGACAGACAGCAGAGTGCGGACAACAACCCCCCAGCCAGGCCCCAGGTACACCCACCTCATATGGAGCTGTTTTTTTTTTAGGGAGAGCCCCGCAGAATCGATCGACAACACGGTACTGCAGGTACTATGTTGGCCGACGGAGCGAGTCGGTGCCGACGAGTCCACCCACACAGCAATGTCAAAGCAACAAACAAGGCCAACTGCTGGAGACCCACCACACCAGCAGTGCATGGGAAAAAACTCGTATCAGCAGTGGGAGCAGCAGGCTACCTCCTGTTCGATCTATGTAACCGACCTGGGACTGAAGAAAGAAGCACCGAAATACTTCAATTCATCAACCGGTACATTCGGCAGTTGATCAGTTGATGTCGGGGAGCATGGGGTCCCTCTTGGGGGAAGAAGATCGCGGGCAATCGCTTGAGGAGGATGGCGATGAAGACCACGAAAGCTTCGGGGAAGAGGACGAGAACAGCAGGTTCGCGGTTGGCTCACGCCTTTCGACTGAAGCTCGACAGGTGAGAGCAAAGATAAGCAAACTCTGTCTGTCAGTTTGTTCCACATCCGACCAAAAATCATCATGCTGCCCTCAACCTCGGTATTCCCGAAGCTTGGTGCCTTGATCCCCCCCCTCCCTCTGCTCTCTGCTCGTGTGTATGGCATAGAGTACAGGCCACGTGACGGCAGTGTAATGGGACGAGTTATTTTCAAGGAAATGCCTGGTAATATCGTGCCCATCTCTCGTCTGCGGGAGCGCATACGTCGGTCTCTCTTCATGTCTATCCTACGACAGCAGTTGTTGTTGTTGTTGTCTTCACATTAAAAACCATCCCGTTCTCTCTATCCAGTACCTCCTTCTGTCTCAATCTCTCCGTACTAATCCAGC